TCTGACATTTGCTGCAGGCTTGGTCCGAAATATCAGCCTTTGAGCCAGTCCATTTATCGGCCTTTTTGAGCTTGTCTAGATAAATCGCTCTGTGATGTTATTTTTTCCTAACCAGCTGATGTCATCGTGTTGTAAAACTATGCAGTATCTTTGAAACCAACATTATTTCACCAGACTAACGACGGCCTTACAATGGCTATGTTCAGTGAACGTAATAATTAGAAATAAAAGAGAATTATTCAGGGGCTGCTATGTTAATTTTCTTCGCTCGATAATTTCACTGCCATTTATCATGTTAATGACTTTCAAGAGACGCTTAGAACAATTTCCAACAAATCATTAATTGTTTGAACCAAACGACCCTTTTTAAATGGAAGGAAATAGTTGGTGAACATGTAATTGAAACAAATGTGGTGTAGTGCCTGCCCTGGCCTGGCTGTGGGCAATGATGGGGGGGCTACGGGGCAATAAACAGCGCACTGATTGCCTATGTTTAGCATGTTTAATTCAGACCCGTCTATAGTGTCTGTGAAAGTGCTTGGTATTGATCGTGCGAGATTTCTCTTGATAATGGGGGGCAGTCGGGTAGCCTAGTGGTTAACGCGTTAGCTCGTCACGCCGAAGACTCGGGTTCGATTTCCGACATGGGTACAATGTGTGAAGCCCCTTTCTGGTGTCGCCCACCGTGATATTGCTGGAATGTTGCTAAAAGCGGCGTAAAACCATACTCACTCACTCCATCTCTTGATTATGGATCTGCTTCAGTGATGTGAGGATGTCATGCATTATTTCCATGAATCCTCAAACTGTCCAGAAGTAGATTTGGCTTTGTAGTTGTCCTGTTCTCGAAACTTATTTACAACAATAATAATAATTATAATTATAATAATGCATATTCACAATTCACAAATTCAGCATTTATTTCACGTTCTAAAGCATGCTCAAAACCCTACATTCTAACCCCGGTCAATGGATCAGTGTGCACCTGATTTTCATTCTCAGCTCCCTGGGGAGTATACACCTGAAACTGCCTGTGAGGCGCTGGGGATTAAATGACATTACGATCTCCACCTACTGTACCAATTCATTGCTTGGAGTCACTTACTTGGCAAAGGAGACACCACATTAAATATGAACCCCGGCAGACAAAATTCCTTCAGTGCATCAATTAATCTCATTGTAGTACACTTAAAATGTGAAAAAGATATAACTACAAATTATTTTTATTTCAACCTACCTGAGATAATTATCTGCGAGTTCATGAGCCATAAAAAAGTATGTCTTCATATAGGAAATATCGTTGATATTATAATACAAGTGTTCATAGATCCGGGGTAGAATAGGTCTTCAGCAACCCATGCTTGCTGTGAAAGGCCACTAATGGTATGGGGTGGTCAGGCTTGCTGACTTGGTTGATGCATGTCATCGTATCCCAATTGTGTGGACCGATGCTCATGATATCAATGACTGGATTGTCTGGTCCAAACTCGATTATCTACAGACTGCCATCATATCGCTGGAATATTGCTGAGTGCGGCATTAAACAACAAACATACAGGTGTTAATAAGAAACGCAGCTCAGTTGCAGACCCAACCCAGGTATATTGCACCTGTCCTATAGCTGGAATATAGCTGAGTGCAGCCATAAACAACAAACATTTAACTGTCAGCCTCCATCTGCAATATATTGTGCCTATTAAATTCCTGAAGTGGCTCTTACCAAGATGATATTGACAGTTAACCTCAGGGTTTGAAGATCACAGAAAATATATACCCACCAATTTGTCTATGATAAATCCTGATTCACCCCAATTGTGTTTCTAGGTTTGTCAGCACCATACCCGTGCTCGTGGGTTTCAACGAAGTGGTAAACGTCTAAAACCTGCGTCACTTGGGGCTTTCCTCCCACATTAAGTTGACACGTCGTGATGTAACTGGAATACTGTTAAAAGTGGCCTTAAAACCCAACTCACTCACTCTACGATAAACCTTGAACATTCAATGGAAAACTTATGATCAGAACTACTAGTAACATACATTATTTTTTTAATAATGACAACATTGGTGTATAATAATAACTTTATTGATCAATTATATCAATAATGGCTGTAGTCACGGCAACTTGAAATTTTCAAGAAGTTGTAATCTATCAGACCGCCATTAAGATCACGATCTGAAAAATACTATCATGAAAGTGTATCCTGTGGATAAGCCGACCCCTTTCTACAGAATATTTTTTCTGGTCCTCAAAATTCGGCAGACATATACGGTATGTACCAGAAGGTTGGACAACACCACCCCAATGTGGAACTTTTGTGAGATGTATTGTTCAATGAGTATTTATCATGTTTATATTTTTTTAAAGAATTAAAAAGAAGACCTTTCTACTGCCTTCTGTTAACATTTGACAGGTGTCTCTCACTTTGATAATCAGCTAGTTTAGTTCAAGGATGTATGTAGACCTGCTCGGAGGCCGATGTTGGGCCCCAAGTCTGTAGCCTGTGTTAGTACACGTTTTCAAACTGGAATTACACATTTACTAATTCATGTAGTTATAACTAGGGCTGGGACAACTCCAAATTTACTACCCAGGTACCCACCACCCTAGTACCCGACCCTACCTGCGTACCTGCTGCAGATATTTAGAGATAGGTACAAACTGTCCGATTTGGAAGAGTTTGACTGTAGCCCTGGCAAAATGTATTCAGATAAATGTGTAAAACGATCTGGTCATGCATACACTAAAATTTACTTCATGAAGTTTTAGTTTTATTCAAACAAATAAAGTCAGAAGGAATGGGTGCATTGTCAGAAAGAAATGGGAACTTTAATGACTTGTAGTGTAACCATAGAGTTTTAGATAATTTTTGTCATTAAACAATGTATCACGTGACTAACCACTCGTCCGGGTAGTCCTGTGGGTACCCAGGTCCTACTCAGGACCCACCTGACCCGGGTACCCGTCCCAGACCTAGTTATGACCAATGACCAATGATAACCAGTGTTATAGCTTTGTCGAGGTGGCTTGTATTCACTGATAACAGGTCCAACAAAGTTTGTTTGTTTTTTTGTTATTTAACGCCATACTCCAGCTATATGACGGCGGTCTGTTAATAATCGAGTCTGGGGCTAACCCAACTCAAACATTGGTTGGCCGGCATTGAATATGATTTAAAGTTTTTTGGTTTGCCACGCCCCTTTTTTGAAAGGGAGAATGGACTACCAGATATCATTTTAATTTTAAAATCCTACCAATTTGGCCTGTAGTAGGCTTGAATGAAAAATGTGACATCAGCTATAAGTGCTTATAAGAGCATGGTGAATGTATTCCGAGAACCTTTTTTAAATGTACTTGCAATAGTAGGCATAGTGTGTTCCTTGCCTGCTAACTCATGTGTATTCAATTGGCCCCGGTCTCCTTGTGCAAGACATAGGATGGTTAAAGTGGGGTATCTATGTTTTGTTGTCATAATAGTAGTTGTGTGAAGAATGGGAGAGTAGTATCTTGAGGGCTTTTTCAGACAGAGGCAGTCATGCCATTACAGTCTGACGGTAATGCGGTTTCTTTCCACTTAGATTTCTATATCCCCAAATAACTGTCACTGGGGCGTTTATCGTATGATTTTTATGTGACGGCTGTCTGTAAGTAATCAAGTCTGGACCAGACAATCCAGTGATTGACAATTGGGATACGATGACATGCATCAACCAAGTCAGCGAGCCTGACCACCCAATCCCGTGAGTCACCTGGTACTATTCTACCCCACATATTCACGGGGCCGTTTATGGTATGAGGTTGATCTGCCTGACCAGAAAGAAGTCAGGTAGAAGTTTTTTCCTCAAGTTCTTTTTCCAAGGCGGTTGTGGTTATTTCTGTCAAATATAAGATGCCATCGTTCATGAGATATGATATAAATGCAATATTTTCCAGAGCTACAGATAAGCAGCGTATTTGTGTAAAATACCCCCAAAATATTCAAAACCAAATTACTTTCAATTAACTTGCGTACACAAACGCATGCATTAATAAAAAACTCATGTATAAAAACAGCACGTGTAAATACCCGATAAAGCTTTTTCAGCATGCGGACAAAAGAGTTAATTTCTGAAACACAATTACAAACAAATTTCTTCCCGAGCCAAGCCTGTATATTTAGAACAGTTATATACATGTGCATATAAAACATTATTTCATTTTTTTTAAATCTTAAAATGTGTAATTTTAAGGAAACTTCAAAAAGTGATGAATAGATGAGTGAAAAAATATTGGTAACCCATTGAAAAATGTAATGACCCAATTAAAATAGAAACCCTAGAGTGAAAACTCAATTGCTCAAAAAGTTCTGAGCTCTGATTTTCTGTATTGGGTTTTGCTGTGAGTGCCAGCAAAGTGTTCCGGGCGATGGGGTCTTCGGGGCCCCATTGCCTGTGAAAGGCTTGGCCAGGTTGGGCAGTGTTCAGCTAAGGGATGACATTTGTGAAAAGGAGGGTCATTTATTCAGAGCCATTTGACATGTTTGAAGCACTGGCATCTACATGTAATCTAGTTTCCAAATGAGACAGTATATACCAGATAGTTGGCATTTTGGAAGTTTTACTGGCAATTGTTGGCTGTAGGACATGAGACTGAGATTATATGTAGGCAGGTGAACATGGTGAAGGGTTTGAAAATAATGTTATTTGTTCAAGTCCATAAGCATGATTAGAAGAAAATTGCCACAGAATTACCAAAAAGTAGTTGTGCAGAAAATGTTACTTGTCCTTCCTTGTGTGATGATGATGTCGATGAGGAGGAGGATGTTGTTGTTGTTGATGATGAATCTGTATGGCACACTTTCCAATTTATAACTGTTTAAATGCTCTTAGACCACGATAGTTCTTATTTTCGTTCTCAACTCCTTGAGAAGTATACAAGCTAAGCAGCCTTTGAGTGGACGTTAATTTCGAAGCGTGACGTGAGATTAGTTAATGGTTTTTATATAACGTTTTTTCTGTTCCAGATCCAAGCAATGACAGAGAAGCAGGAGGTTGAAATATAAACCTGTCATTTTGGTAAGCTATTTTGGTTGTTTTTAGTTCAGGAGACCCGTGAAGATCCGGGGTAGAATAGGTCTCCAGCAACCCATGCTTGCCGTAAAAGGCAACTATGCTTGTTGTAAGAGGCAACTAACGGGATCGGGTGGTCAGGCTCGCTGACTTGGTTGATGCGTGTCATCATATCCTAATTGTGTAGATCAATGCTCATGATGTCAATCACAGGATTGTCTGGTCCAGACTCGATTATTTACAGACCACCGTCATATGGGTGGAGTATGGCTTTAAACGACAAACAAACAAACTTTGTTGGACCTGTTATAATATGGCTGGAATATTGCTGAGTGCGGCGTTAAACAACAAACAAAATTTAATTCAGGAAACACTATCTGTGTACGGTTGTTTTACCCTATCATTTATACGGAAGACAAACTCGGTATTCCGAGGTAGATTGTTCCCTTGTGTCCTCTCCCTCAACAAAACTGGATCGGGAGCTCAAGTTGTCTTCGTGTTCCGATGACGGGGATAGCTGCTCATGCTCTCACTCCTTGGTTTGGCCGGCACGGTTATTTACAGGCCGCAGTGATATGGCTGGAATATTGCCAAGGGCATTGTGAAACACTCGCTCACTCTCTCGCCAAGAAATTCAACTGACGTTTTATTGTGAATTCGCTCATATTCTGTTTAATTAACTCTTGAAAAATTGCTGCATCTCCAACCACAGAACAGGTGTCTTGACCTGGACTTGAAGGAAATCAACGACCGCCATGTTGCAACAAGCTACAGCCAGCTTGTAGGATAGGAATATATACAATGCCCATTCACAATAGGAAGTTATAATGACCAGAAAATGTACAGCCTCTTCACCCATGCCCTCCCCCAACATGTTAAGCATGTTGAACTTGTCATTTTGATAACATATTTTAAAGCAAAACCCTTAAAAAGGCCATTTTTCCACTAATCCTTATAATGATAACATATTTTAAAGCAAAATCCTTAAAAAGTCCAAATTTCCACTAGTCCTTATATTGAGAGCATATTTTAAAGCAAAACCCTTAAAAAGGCCAAATTTCTACTAGTCCTTATGATACGTTAACTATCAGGCAGTTCTGCAAGGACTATAGGACTAGTGCCGATTTCTGTCGCTGTGTGTCCAGTTGGTACCCGTACATTCATAGTGTCTCCCTCACCACTTTCAGAAGCCCGAGGCTAGTAAACCTTCCACTGGTCAAATAAGTTCAGCGGGAAACTGTCCGTAATTTGTTCAATAACAACTACAAATGTTACTCTTGCAAGGAATGATGCTGTGGATGGTTTCAGTGTCGACCAAGGTTTTTTAGTCATTTACTTAAAATAGTTTCAGATGAGTCATGCATTTTATCAGCTCCTAAATATCACAAATGGCTCCTGAAATTGTCAAGTTCCCATCACAGTCGACTAAGAAGCGCGGGTAATCAGGCATTATGGGGCTCACATCTGACTAGGGACTCCTTGCTAACTTATTGCCAACTGTATCAAAGTAATAGGAATGTTCCGCTTGCATTAATATGTCTGTAACAGGGGACGCATTGCTTCCCACGAGTGGACAAGTACCTGATAGTCTCGCGGTGTGTATTGATGTATACTAATCAAATCAAGTTAAAGAACACCCACAATTTGCAAAGCCCACCAGCCATGACAGATTGGCTTCACTCATTTGAAAACGTCGGTGTTCTTTTACTTCTTTTTTGTGGTATATGATGTTGTGTGGGAATTTGTTGAAATTCAGAATTAATTATTTCTTTTAGAAATTATTGATTTAACTTCCCTCATTTGAAAACATTGGGTGTTCTTTAACTTCTTTCTAGTGGTATATCATTAAGGAAAAGTGTGACTTACAAGTGATATTGTGCTGGTCCAGATATTCTACGACAGTGGCGGTCGAGTAGCCTAGTGGTTAAAGCGTTCGCTCCTCATGCCGAAGACCCGGGTTCGATTCCCGACATGGGTACATTGTGTGAAGCCCATTTCCGGTGTCCCCCGCCGTGATATTGCTGGAATATTGCTAAAAGCGGCGTACAACCATACTCACTCACTCATTATTCTAGACAATCACAGCTACAAAGATTTGCAGTCCCAGCAGACCTTTAGACCATCTGGTCGACCTTCGGACTTCACATATTATTCTCCCCAAATGAAGTTCATAATTGGGAAATAATCTGTCAGATTCCTGATTGAAATCATTGATTTGGATGAATTCATTGCCGGGAAGCTGAAATTAGCCAATTGTCAGTCAATCAATTAGAACAGCATAGGACTTAAGTATCACCCTCATGGGGCGTCCGGGGTTAGAAGAGGTCCATGCTGGATCGATGCTCATTACATCAATCATTGGATTGTCTGGTATCTGGTCAGGACTTTACTGGCTGCCATCATAAAACTGGAATTGGAACTGGAGTGCAGCATTCAATTTGGTGTTTGAAATAATTTTAAAACCCAACAAGACAATCAGGCAGGTGACACATAAATGATGCCTGCCCATCTTCCAAGTTACCTGCCCACATTCAGACATAAATGCTGAAAAAAATGCTACAAAATAAGAAACAAATCGCATCTTAACTCAGTTGAAATGATGCTAACAATTACTTGAGAATCTACAAGGAGTTAAAATAAAACTGAATACGTAAGTAGGCTTAAAATTATGTGCCAGACAGTCGGGCAGGTAGGGGAAAATTTCATCTTGCCCAACAGAAAAGTTACTAGCCACGGGCAAGGTGGCAGGCAATTATTTCAGACAGTGGTTAAATCAACAAAGGGACTTAAGTACCAACACATTTCTTGGAAGAGGACAATATTGTCCTACTAATTCATATCTATTTGTGTCTCCCTGATGAAATGTGTGTGTGGCACCGAGACGTGTAAATTGGGCACAGGACTTAAACTGGGAGACTTAATGTGTTTAATCCGAAACGAAGGAGCAAGAAGAGTGGGTGTTGATGTTAGAAATGAAGTTAGCAAGTACATGGAACGTATACGAAGATGAGTGTTATTTGAGGTGGAATCCTGGTACTTACGATGGTGTTATGAAGACTTGGTCCATGCCGAATAGTGGATGCTTGACACGCGGGGCTGTTTTCTCTTTCTACTCCTATCATGACTACTAACCCCTAATCAAATTACCCTGTCAAATAATTTACGAAGTGCGACAAAACGGGGACACCTTGCGTCTATTCTTATTCCTGGGGCGAGGACAGTTGGGATTACCAGAGGGGGCGTATCACAATCTGTGTTCCTGTTATGTGCCGCTTCTATCAAGGATTACAATTGGATGCTGACCTTAAGATGATTAGAAACTGGATGCTTGGCTTACAATAACGAAAAACAAAATGTGTTTGTAAAATGTGAATAATATATGACTATGTCACTGTTAGATATTAGTTTGTGGAACTTAATATTCTACCAATCTTACCTTCTAGTGTGAAACATTCACATTTTTATTGACATTCCACTTTTTTCACAGCTTTAAAAAATTTAAATAGCTGTCTACCGATCTTTATTTTGGAATCAAAACTACTCAGAACCATAGACAATTTTTATTTTTTTAAATTTACACCGCACTCATTGGAATTTGGTATGAATTTTTTTATTATTGGTGTTGGCACGGCCCCTGTGCGTGAAAGGTGCCTTCTTGACCATGGTGTGGTGTGGCTACTCACGTCATTATGCTGACAGCTGATTGGCTGATCAATGTTCAAGGCAGCCATCTTGACAGAATAGCACTTTGTGCTAGGTTAGTCAGACTTGTAGCATCCCCGAGGGAATTCAATTTCAAATTCTGACCTCAGCAAGGCGCCAATCTCCAGAACTGTCACACAATCCTAAAATTTCGTGCTAATTGTGTTTGTTGTGATTGCACTGAGTGACCTTTACTGTGGCGTACCCATTTACCCTTAAGGAGTATACAAAGAACAGCTTAAGCTATTTGAACACACATTAAATGTCATTTACAGCCCTGAATTTGACAAAAACAATATACAAGTTTGAAAATGCACCTAATATTTGTCTCTGACTAACCCTTACCTGTCCGCAAAAAATCTAACTTTGAAACTTACTACCTCTAAAGTTTATTTACCATACTACGTCACTAATTCCTGTGTTATGTGTAACTTGTCATGCTTTCTAAGGCTTGGTTGATGCATGTCACCGTATCCCATTTTTTAAAGATTGATGCTCATGATGTCAATCACTGGATTGTCTGGTCCAGATTTGATTATTTACACACTGATGTCATATACAAGAATATGGGTGAATGCAGTGTTAAACAACAAACACATATAATTTGGAAGACAATAAACTTGGACAGTATTATATGAGTCTGAATAAAATCAATAATTCCCTTTTTTTGCAACTTGTTAAAGTTTACATTTTGCTTCCATGGAAATAAAAATAATTACCAAAGAAATTGGATATAATAAAGTGCTCCTTTACAAAATGGTTCCTTCCATCCCTGCACGCAGGCCCTGTGATGGTATGCAAGGCCGGGAGTGTGTGGGCATGTGTGGCCATGGCAGACATGGGAGGTGACTCACCGCCCATCAGTGCTCCATCAAGCCAGATCAGCTTGCTTCCACATCCCCAGACTTCATTCATAGGCCAGGGACTATTTGCCCCCTTTCGATATTGACGCATCAAGGAGGTGTCTTTTTCTACTTTTATTTGAATTGATTTTCTACTTTTGTTTTGGCAAATTGAAAAACTGCTGATTCTGCATCTCTTATCTACACTGGTTGCTATAGAAATTACTGAATGTTTCCGATCTCATTAAGTGCAGGCGTTCTACATCTTTACAGCAACAACCCCCTTGCAGTCATATATTTATTGGTTTGAATGAAAGCCTAAGAATATCACTGTCGACTGGAATAAAATAGCTCCGTTTGTCCACATCATTGGCGTGATGACGTTAGTTTGCAGTATTAAGATCAGTAATAGACCAATCTGTAAGTAATCCTCATTACTGCCTGGTTCTAAGCCCCCAAAGT